AAATATTACCATGCCCACCGGTGGGGCATACGCTCCACGTTGGGAATCATTGGTTCAGAACGGAAAGTGTGACACTAACATTTGTTGACGCATTGGGATAACGAAAGATGCCTTCCAAAAGCCAATCAAAGTATTAACAGGAAAATTTCGTGAGAGTATTGAACTCTCCTCCTATATGGCAGTGAATGCTAGAAATTTCCGCGCAGATGATGACTAAACTTGAGGTGATCGCAATGTGGTCCTACAGAAAAATGCTGTGAATACCATAGACAGAACATGTGAGCAACGACGAAGTTTTAGAGAAAATGGAAACAAAAAGGACACTTATAAATAACATCAGAAACAGAAAGTTGAAATTTCTAGGGCACATAATGAGGAAAGGGAGCTTGGAAAATTAGATACTCACAGGAAGGAGAGAGAAAACGCATGACTTACCTAGCGAGTTTGTTAATAGATGGCAGAACAATTTAAGAGAGGTAACAAAAAGATCAAATTTATTAAGACCTCCAAAGGACAGGAAGTTGTGGAGAGCCATTATCCTTAATGTCCTGAAGAGACACGGCGCATAGACGAATTTTCAAAGAAGATAAACGCGTTAGATTGGCGCAAATTCCTATTCTGCTTTTTTACTTGTTGGTCCTGTGCTGTAAGTTACGTTTAGTAAATATCTAAAATATTTACAAGAAGAAAAAACTACTGGGAAGGACTCCATTAAGATGGGAAGACAAGAACCGGAAACGACTCCATTAAGATGGGAAGACAAGAACCGGAAACGACTCCATTAAGATGGGAAGACAAGAACCGGAAACGACTCCATTAAGATGGGAAGACAAGAACTGGAAACAGAGTTGAGCTATATGAAAAAGATCGGCAAAATCCGGAACGAAATGGGCATAATGTTGTGACCGGCGGTGTTTAATCACCACCTGATAGTCAGGTAGAACAAGGGTCATTTATTTTGACTCTTTATTCGAACTTTATAAAGAGTACATAGATTATTTTAAAATATCTTTGTACAATTATTATTTAAGTAGCTGCTTAAGTAACCACTAATACCACAGGTAGAATTTTTTAAAAAATCAACATCAAAACCTTTGTTGACAATAATTGAAAAAAGTTCCAAATTTTGTAATTTGTTGCAAATATGTGCAACAGGTATTAGCCAGGCACTCAATTTGCCAAAAGGGGTGGATATAAACACACACACACACACACACACATATATATATATATATATATATATATGAAGAAAAATATACAGAAAAAAACAAACAAAAATCTTAATATGCAATTATGCTATATTAATGTTAATATAAAGTCAACGTCATACAGCATAATTGCATATTAAGATTTTTTTGTTTTTTTTTCTGTATATTTTTCTTCATACTGTCGGATCTATATCCATATATTTGCTTATATATATATATATATATATATATATATATATATATATATAGGTTGGTGCAAAAATAATGACGCAATAATGTCGTTTTTGATGTATTTTTAACGTCAAAAACGACATTATTACGTCATTATTTTTGCACTAGTTAATATATATATATATATATATATATATATATATATATCAAAAAAACTTTTTAAAACTGTGGGGTGGGTTCCTTACACTAAAACAAGGTATAATATACATATCGACATATGTCCAAAAGGCCATCGTTTTATCTCAGAAAAACATCTCATAACAAATGTTCAAAATGGCATCCTATTGCTTCTAAACAAACATGCACCCGTCAGCTCTGCCGGATTCTTACTACGACACGGTGTTGAATGGTTTCGACCCCACGACACGTTGATGATGCGTCTCAGCATTATTAATGTCTGTTGTATAAAGCAATTGTTTTAGGTAACTCCACAGATAAAAATCCGAAGTATTGATATCGGGGGGTGGGAGTGGACGTGCAGACCATAGACCCAACCTATCCTTCTTTCATGGCAGATGTCAGCCAACAATGTGACTAAAATGTGCTGGAGCCCCATCATGCATGAACCACATGCGTCTTCATGTTAGCAGAGGTACATCCTCTAGCAGGTCTGGAAGTGTGTTCGAAATAAAGTCCCTGTAGACAGCTGCTGTAAGACATGCTGGGAGAACATATAAACCTACCAGACAGTTATCTACATTTCCAGCCAACGCATTAATCGTAAACTGATGCTGATCTCTAGCCTGTATTGTATCATGGGGATTCCGATCCGTCTACAAATGTTGTTTGTAAATTTGGTATTCCATCTCTTTCAAATGTTGCTTCATCCGTAAACAAGACTGAAGAGACAAACTACGGATCGGCAGTTTGTGCAATAAAACACCGGCAAAAAGTTCTCCTGTGATGAGGAATCAGGGGGGGAAAGACCCTGCATACGTTGCAAATGATATTGATTCAAGAACTACTCTTGAAGTACACTCCATGCTGTACTATAAGATGTACGCCATGCTAGGGCTACTTGATGTGTGCTGATACCGGGATCGTCTCCAACAGCCTGTAGAATGTGTTCTTCGTGGCCAGGCGTACGAGCGGATCTCGGTTTTCCTCGATCCATAGTTTGTGGTGCCAGAGATCCTGTCTCAGTAACGCGACGATAAACAGCAGCAAAGATTGAATAACTCGACGTTTCCAGACCAAAGGCGGCAATCTGATACACCTGTGCAGCCTCGCGTCCATTATCATTCGCGCAGCCATATGTAAAAATCATATCTGGCTTCTCATGATATGAATATCCTGCCATTGTTAAACGGAACACTTCTCAGTTAACTCACTACTACACATGTTAAACATTGAAGACAGACTAGCCACAGATGTACACGGATGACAAATGTAACCCAGCCTGCATGGCAACACAATGCAATCTATCATAAATTTTCTTTAAACTTAACTTACAAACGAAGGATTTTTCGGATATATGTTTATATGAACTTGTTTTGGCGTGAGGAACCTGCACCCAAAGTTTTTAAAAGTATATTTGGTACTATATCTATCTATATATATATATATATATATTATGAAATGGAGAAAGTCCGACAATTATTTTTTAAGACATTTTATTTTATGTTTATACGTTCTTTTTATAGATACAAATATTTAAGTAAATGCTCTGTTTATAATAAACAGTATTAACAACATTTACCGGCCTGAATGTTCGAGAAATTTTCATAATATATGCGTCCTCCGACAGGAATCGAACCTGTATCCTATACGGAACCGTCATATATCCTGACGTGCCTTAACCAATTGTGCCACAGAGGAGCGTTCAATTAGCAAGGTCGATTTTACTGTTTTTAAACGCAATTCTCCATGATTTTCTCTCATTCCTTCATATCTGCTTAATGCTTATCCAAATGTAAACAAATGACGTCATACATTATGAAATGGACAAAGTCCGACAATTATTTTTTAAGACATTTTTAATTAGGAAAATTAATGAGAAAAAAATTTTGTGTGGTACGTTTCGTCCTTTACGACTTCCTTGAACTAAATTGACGTTTCCTTTGACATAATTACACACAAAGGCGATGGGAAGCTGCAATTTTAAATTTTTAAGTATTTTATATATGTGTCTGGGTAAATCGACTAACCAATTTCATTTAGTTTTTGCTTGATTTTAGTACTTTTGTTATTAAGTATCCCACATTGTTATAACAGAAGATCTGCCAATAAAGGTGAAACCTTATAAAGTAATAAAGGTGAAACATTATAAGGTGATAAAGGTGAAACAATATAAGAACCTATACGCAAATTTATTCTGAATGATCCAGCGATTAAATCATCTTATGTACATCTTCGTCTTTATGAATTGCTTTCTCTCTTAATTGGAGTAGTATTTTTTTTTTTAAATTTAAATTATGGTCACTCGTTGCGGTGAGCAACTAATGCATTCAATGTGTTGTTCTATAACAGATCCCTTTTTCGTTCATATAATCTTTTATTTAAATTGCCCGAAGTTTCTTCTATGTATACCTTGCGGAAATTATTACAGGTAACAGTAAATTCTTTCAAGTTTTAGCTTATTCTTATGCTTTGTATTAAGTCATTTATTGTTTTAGAAGTAGTTGTAATAAATTTTAAGCTTAGATAAATTTTTCCCAATTGTAGTTGTGATCGAGTTATTAGGTAAAATAATATATTTTGATTCGTTTGGGATACAGCACATCAGTCAGTTATGTGACATGCGTGATACGCGCTTAGGCGATCTTTCGATACATGATTGACGAGGCAGATTTTCGATACATGACTGACGAGGCAGATATTTTTCTTTCTGCGGTAGACCAGTTGCCATCCAAGACTATAGAACCCGGTCTGTCCTGCTATTTACCCATAGCTAGAAGAAGAGGAATTCAATACCCAGGGTATTAGCACGTAAGTGAATGTAATGGATTCGACTGGAATTCGAACTCGACTCTCTGATTCGTCAATCCATTAGTCCACCGTGCCTCATACAAGACCTATATCGCGCTGTGGCCCTTTGAAGCTGGGATCAGTTATTTCTTCTGGCAATGGTCAATTTACACTTATGCATGAATCTACCAAATTATCATTCCTGTTCTAAATTAATTTTTTAAAATATTGGATATATTTTTACGCTATAAACATAAAATATCAAGAATCCAAGTGAAAATTTTGTAGAATTTCCTTCTCTCATAATTCCTACTCATAATTCTCCATCATATTGACAGCCTCTTTGGACACCCCCCCCCAAAAAAAAGCAAAGATCTGTCATCGAATTTCTGTTTCGAGATGATAATGCTGAAAACTGCCACAGAAGGTTATTGAATGTTTATGGAAAGGCTTCACTTGATGTAAGAGACATCCCTCTTTCCTCCATCCCAGCTACGGGTTAAAAAGTATGATTTGTATCAGTAAATCATTATTATCTCCCCAAAAATCTTACAATTTAAAAATAATTTCTAACTTTGATTAATCTGTGAAAGTTTATGAGCTGTAAAAAAAAACAACAAATAGTTCAGTTCTACTTGTATCATATAAGCCGATATGTCAGGTTATGACATCTGCAAGTAAATCGGCAAGACATCTAATAAGATTAAAAACAAGACCTGCAAAGAACAGAGGAACCTTCTTCTAGGGTCAACGGTCACCTTGCATTGAGGTAAACTGGGCTCCGTAGCTATGTATGCAGACAGTGCTGTGATGACACGGCATCGCTGGGCGGAGGGTTCCTTAGATTGGAGTCAACACCCAGGACTTGGGTTTACCACGATAGAATCAGCGGCCATATGTTCCTGACCAAAGTGAACCTTTAAGTTAGGGGATATCAGTTGCGACCTGGTAAGGGATAAGCTCCGCCAAGTATACATGCTCAAGATACGCTATGCATGAATGAATACCTATTCGACTCAGTACCTTGACTTTATGAATTCAAGCGCAGTACTAGATTGGCAGCTAGGTTTCATCATTTTACAGTTGAAGTCGTGTGTGAGTTTGAGGCCCAACAGACTTTCAAGGCACGGTGTTTTCTCGAGAGGGCCTCCGTTCATCCTGGTAGTTTGTGGTCAAATCGGCGATGATGAAATGTAACTAGCTTGGTTTTCGAAACATTTAATGTAACCGTCCAGTTTTTATCCCATTGGGTATTTTGTGCAAGATCGGAAGAGAGATCAGTTGCCAATCTTTGACCATCGCGTGTTTCAAAGGTGCGCCCGTATATAATCGTATCATCGGATTAGAATTTTACAAAGGACCTGAGTATATTCATAGGCAAATCATTTATGAAGATAAAATGTGGCTTAGTCCAATTGATTATTGCCACAAAAAGCTTGCTGATGATACTAACGAGACTGGTGGGTCTATACGAGGAGGAAGAAAATAGCACGCCCGCGTTCTTGAAAACTGGACATACTCTTGACACTTTCCAAGGGGTTGGGAAGGATTTCTCCTTCAAGCAGCGGTTGAATAACTTTGCAAGGATTAGGGATAATTCCGGGTTGATGTTCTTAATGAAAACCACGGGAATTAGGTCTGAACCAGTGGCTTTCTTAGGGTCAAGGTCTTTGATAATTCTAGAGACTTCACGTGATGTGATGGTAATGTTACTGAGATTGTGCTCAGTGAGACGTGGGAAATTGGGGAGGAGATGGTCTTTGTCATCTAACGTTGAGTTAGAGATCTATGTACCTAATTCTGTATCTATCTAAGTTCAGATCTATCTACCTACATTCATATCTGTCTGTTTCTATCCATCTACCTTCATATCGATCTCAGTCTGTTTCTACCCATCTACCTTCATATCGATCTATTTATATTCATCTACCTTCATATCTATCTATCTATCTATCTATCTATCTATCTATCTATCTATCTATCTTCTTTCATAGCTATCTATCTCAGTTTGCCTCTATCTACTTTCATAGCTATCTATCTTAATATTTTAAATGTTAAAGTTTGTGTATGCCTGCTATTGTGTGAAGGCATCTTAATACTAAAAAGAGCATAAATCTAAGCAACCTTTCGGTGATACCTTCTTCAGAGATCAATCGTTAGCGAAAAAACAATTTCTTTTCTATTAATCTTAAAAGAACACCGAAAAAATGTAGGGGACTAATACAGTAGTAGAATAAACTGACCTAACACGATTAAAAGATCAAAATGGTCTTCTAACAAATTTAGAAACTAATTTAATTATATATGAGCAGTTACTTGTATTGCGTAGGTTCTAATTAAGTTTTTTGTCAACTAACAAATTGTCCCGTTTTTTTTGTTTGTTTTTGTTTTGTTTTGTTTTTTTTAATTACTTTTGAAATACAAGTAGAAACTTGTTGGTGCAATTTGGACTGACCGCACCCTATACTCCAGACCCCCCATCAACTCTCATTGCCCCCAAGGAACAAAAGCAATAAAAATAAATAAAAAACCCATAAAACAGTCTTTTTTTTTCTTCTTTCTTTTCTGGGACATCGGCCATTACAAAACCAAGTTGTCTTAGCAACTATCCCAGAAGGTTGCACGGCTTGTTTAATGTTACCAGTTGCAGCCGACTGCAATGACGACACTGTTGTTGTTTATGAGTTGTTTATGGCCGCTTCTCTGTCAGACATGCACATTGAATCGGCTGCATAACTGGCAATGAATTTAAATAAAAATAAAAATGCGATAGCTTTTCATAGACATGCGTTCTTCGTATCCGAACGCCACCCACCCACCTGCTGTTAGCATTTATTTGTGATAATACTGCAATCTGTCAGTAGTGGGTCATCTTGACACCAAGTGACCCTTTGTTATTGACCTTACTTTTCTTTTAGTAAAAGGAATAAAACAGAGTCCAGCCTTCTTGTGTTGTGAGAAGGAGATATTCAATATATTTGTCTATTTTAAAAGAAAAGAATTAAAACCAAACTTGTTGATCGCATATTGCTAACGAATTTCTGTCGCGCAAGAATTTGCTGAGGTTTTCGTTTTCGCTACTACGATGGAATGCGTTCTAAACATGTTAAAATTCTTGGAATTAAAATTCAAAACTTGAATTTAGACAAACAAATACAAAGCGATAGTGCTTTTTAAATGGATGGGGTTTTACGATAATAACAAAAAGTTTTATACAGGTTTCTCTCTTCACTTTCTCTTAAGATTGCAAAACAAAAGCTTGTAAAAATCCTCATCAAAAATTAATTAGCCTGATATCTGTTCTTTACCATTTCCTCTAAATTAGTATATGAAAAGAAACATGAGAATTTAAGCGTTAAAGAAACGCTAAACTGGACAATCGGCGGCACATTTGGTTCTTAACCGCTGTTCAAATTCTATGAAATTATGGCTAGTACATCGTAATGTTAAAAGATATTTTTAAAGTAGTAACAGTAATTGTCTCCCATGATGAAGTCTTAGTCCGAGTAAAGAAAAGTATAGTCTTGTCCATTTAAATACTTTTACTCACTAAATATAACTTTTATATTAATAAAAAAGAATAATTTAAACATTCTATGATCCAGGGAAAAAGAAACTCCCTGTGGAAATAAATTATAACCATGGAACCTTAATGTTGTCTGATTTTCTTTGAGTTAAATTATTCGGTCTGATTTAACATTGAGCTCTCCGGATTTCATCTTCCTTGGGATTATCCATACGGATTACCAAGATTTTCATTACTTAATTATTTTCTTTTTAAAAATATGATTCCATCGCGACACACACAATTTCCATGTTTCAAAACTGAAACTAAATTTATAAATTTAATTATTAAAATTAAACTCAAAAATCCATAGTCTCGTTTCATCGATAAGCGATAAGAGGAATAAACTTTCAAAAAAAATCTGCTTAATTTATAAGTGTATACAATATTGATATTATGAGTTGTTAAGTTTAAGGAAAATATATTTTAATTTAGGGGTGGCTGGGTTTTAATTTCCCTAGATAGCTTATGTATCCAATATATGTTTCTTATAAAGTCAGGTTAAGTTTAAGTGGGGTGGGGGTGTCTGCTAACAAAAGTATATTTCCCTTCTTCAGCGAGTCGGCTGGGTTTCCGATGATAAAAATTTTTTTTTTAGGCATTTTCATTCATCCGCTTAATTCTTATTTCTCTACACAAAGATTTTCTAAAAGGGTCATTTAAATATGTGCCATACATATTAATACGTAAATTTTATTACATTTTATTCTAATAAATTTAAAATACCATACGACCTTCTAATAACTAATAGACCATACGGTATTTTTTAAAATAAATATATTAGAATTTAATTTTTAATTAAAGATCAATAATAAAAATGTATGTTTCATCTCTATTATTTATTATTTTTTTTTATTGATTATCGATATAAGTCTGTATCTATCTATCTAATTCTGTATCTATCTATCTATCTATCTAATTCTGTATCTATCTATCTATCTATCAAATTCTGTATCTATCTATCTATCAAATTCTGTATCTATCTATCTATCTATCTATCTATCTATCTATCTATCTATCAAATTCTGTATCTATCTATCTATCTATCTATCTATCAAATTCTGTATCTATCTATCTATCTATCGAATTCTGTATCTATCTATCTATCAAATTCTGTATCTATCTAATTTTGTCTCACTTTCCAGTCCTGCATGTGAGTGTGAAAATTAATTCTCCCACAAGGACTTGGAGATGATTTTGAATTCTGTCATGACTGGAAAGTGAGGTCTGAGCAATTCCTGCCCAAATATGGCAACAGTACACCATTTTCGGTTTAATCTGGCTCTTATAATGGTAAAGGATAGCCTGAGGAGCCAGGTATTTACTGGAGCGGTGCAGTGAGCCAATAATTTTATGCGTGTCTTGGAACCAGTCTAACACTTTTAACAAATGAGGATAAAATCGTAGTTGGTGCTGATTGGTAGACTTAAACAAGTCATAGAATCAGTAAATGACAATAGAGTCAGGTTGACTTCCGATGCGTGCAGAATTTAAACTCTTTCTTGCATCGCACATTTTTAAGAATAAGTTGTCCCGCAAAGCAAATTGAATGCATCTAATGTCCAGTTTGGTTTGACAGTTCTAAGAGAACTGATGTCTTGACAACTTCTTGAGAAATGTTATGCGCAGCTTAAAATTGAAGGCAACCTGTGAGAATCTGCTGAAAGGTTTCCATGTTTTGATAGTATTTCAAACCATCATAATATCTTAAACAGCGTGTTTAATCCCTGTAGAAATCTGTAGAAAGCTATAAATACTTTCATGCTGTTAATGTCTGGTCTCAATAAAGCACTGAAAACAACCAGCAATCTGCATCTGTTTTCATTTCGATCCCATCTTTCTGTGAGATGTAGGTTCGTAGCAGTTGGGTTTCCTTCAACACTGTCTTGGAAAGCTCATCTGCAGTCTCTCTCTCTCTCTCTCTCTCTCTCTCTCTCACAGACGTGTCGTCGCTCCCTTCTGTCTTTTTATACAAATACTTTCACGGTAACTGCTCCGATGAGCTGTTTTCGCTGGTTCCCAGACTTCATGAATTTAAGCGTTCTACTAGGCTGGCATCTCGCTCTCACCCTTTCACTGTCGAAACTGTTAAATGTAGCCGTCTCTTCTACTCCAATAGCTTCATGTCTCGCACCTCTCACCTGTGGAACTCCCTCCCATTTTCTTGTTTCCCTGATAGATATAATCTCCAACTATTCAAATGTAATGTCTCCACATGCCTTGATCTATCCCCTAAACTTCTCTTCATCCTTTCCTCTATCACTCCTATTTGGGCTCACTCCAATTCTCTGTAACCCCTTGCGTGCTAGTGGCTTCCCGCCTTGATGGGGTGAAACGCTTAAAACATATATATTGATCTTGCCACATTCCAGATTGTTTTCTTGTAACTAACTCACAATACGAAGAGATGATTACGAAAAAAAAAAACAACATCCAATACAGGTAGAAGGACATCAGGTAACACTTTGAGATGGATCGGTTATCTTAGAAAACATTCTATGGAGAACTTCCAAACGGTAAACGACTGCAACAAGAAACATTTCAAAGATTTCTTAACAGATTCTTGTTCTCTGTTTAGTCTACGAAAGATATAATGGTAAGCAAATATACAAAGACTAGAAACCGTATCTAGTCTTTGGAGATCTTCTCCATGCTGAAGAATGTATCGACCGAGTCAAAGCAAAAACGTGCGGCTCGAAAGAAGAATTAAATTTTATTCATTCAGCTGTGACTCGATGGATTTGTGAAGAATGTAGTCGTTTATGGTTATTACAAACTAGGCTGAAAAATCACATTAGAGGTCACGTACAGAGACATCTGGTTCAATGTAATGGTCAACAGGAGGTCTTGTTTTGAAAAGCTTTAAAATCCGTTTTGGCTTCAAGAGTCATTGCCATGCTCATGGGAGCGGAATTGAATGTGTTCCTTGGTGCGGAGACTGCTATCTTCGTAATTAAATGGACAGCAGCCAATCCTGACTATGTTAACATTCCTTTTTTTATGAGAAAAGATGCTTGCATATAAGACCAAAATCTGGTCGCCTGACGATCGCTCTGCGTCAAATTCGTAGTAACGATTTGGACATCACCTCCGAGTTCTGCTTTGATGGTCAATGTTACTGCTCTGTCTTGGTGAATTTGCTAGACGCATTGAGTAATTTGGTTTATTATCAAGACAGGTGTCTCCCTTTTTCCTTTCTTTTTTATGTTTCACTTCCCTTCCTTTGTTTTTCATTTCTTTTTCTTTTCAGGTTTAATTTCTTTTCTCTTTTTTTTTTTTTTGCATTTGGCAGGTTTAATGTTGGTAGGCTGTTATTGTAACGCTTTACCAATAACTTCGTTTATATATATATATATATATATATATATAATGAAAGAAAACTCTGACTGGGGGACATTATCTGAGGACGAAACGTGTCAAGCAAACATAAGTTTTCCTTTTTGTCTTTATTCATATAGTTATTTTACAGACACACACACACATATATATATATATATATATATATATATATATATATATATATATATATATATATCATTATGTTCTTAGGGGTACAAAATTTTATTATGGAAAAAAAATTGACCAGAAGACCGGTTTCGCCTTCACTTTAAAAAAAGAGCTGAAATCGAAGCAAGACTAAATATTGCAATATAGAATACTAGCAGCACGGCCCGGCGTTGCCCGTGCTTGATTCAAAAATAGTACGACTAATGCAGCAATCGCTATCACTTGTCTTAAAATATTTTTGCCCTTCCTTGCCTTTAGGGGAGTGCCCTTTGCCGTGCTGATGTTGTTACATGCCCTACTTCTTGCCTATCTCACACTGCCAACTTTTTCTAAGCTCTATACTAAACATTAAATCTGTTACGAAAAAAGAACTAAACAAAATAAACACAATACGATCAGCTTTAAAAAACCGGGAAAAAAGATTTTTAAGGGTTGACCGATTGTCGATTTGCACTCTGTTTGGGGGGGGGTGCTCAGAGTTGAAACTTCACATGATGACTCCCAATGGCCTCTTCATAAATCCGCTCGGTTTTCGCTAAAAACCGAAATGCGGTTCAGACGCAATCTGGGCGTATCGGTTTTTGGTTTTTATCGATTTTTCGCGTTGTTTAGGGGTCCGTGGTCAGCGAAAACTTCTGGACAACACTTCTAATGGTAGACTCTAAGAGGGTGTCAAATTTGGTTGAAATGCGATCATTCCTTCTGTAAGCAGAATTTTTCGATTATCGATTTTTTCGAGCCTGATTCCGAACTCAAAATCGGGCTCCGTGATGTCCTTACGTCAGCCATTTGCAAACTTGTGTTGAAAACCGCATCGAAATCGGGTGAGAAATGCGGCCTAAGCGAGGTAACAACGCCCACGACAGTCACACAGGCAGACAACATTAGAAATATAGATAGATAGATAGATAGATAGATAGATAAAAACAAGAGAAGCGTGTGATAAAATATATGACATATTTTGAGATATATGTATCTATTTATAAAAATGTATGTATCTATATTTGTATATATTTATACATATGTATATATATAAATATATACACACGTATATATATATATATATATATATATATATATAT